CCCACACTGTCCCTTACACTCTGTACCCACACTGTCCCTTACACTCTGTGCCCGCCTCCAGCTGTACCCACACTGTCCCTTACACTCTGTGCCCGCCTCCAGCTGTACCCACACTGTCCCTTACACTCTGTGCCCGCCTCCAGCTGTACCCACGCTGTCCCTTGTTCTGTAAACTCCTGGTACAGGTCTAAGTTTCTGTTTCCTATGCAGTGACAGTACGAGGCTCTGTGTAACCCTGTATTTTTCGGGGTGCTCCAACTTCACTCCAGCCACCCTCTACCTCTCCCTATGAACCCCGACTGGCTCGTCTACGTCCTTGTTGTCGCGGCTTAATTTCCAAATCAACCGCCTGCTGCGTGACGTGCGTCATGACGTCGTAGCGTCGCCGGTTGACCGCGGCCATTTTACAAGTTGGAAAAAAAAAACCCCAAGGTCTGGTGACGTGGTGTACGGATCATCTTGGCTCGAGCCGCCATGTTTATTGCGGGCACCACCAAGAGACATTGAGAAAAGCTGTGAACTCCAGTGTCATTCAGATAGAGGCTGGCTCACACACCGATGGAGTCACAGGGCCCCCGGTTAGATGTGGGGCCCCCAGGAAACCCAGTCCCCGGGAGATGTAGTTACTTTGTGCAGAGGAAGAGGAGGTTCTGTAAGATGGTTGTGTCCGAGGGGAAGAGATTATGTGGGGAACATGCCCAGCATGGGGAGGTATGGAATACATTTACTCACACACATTGATATAAAACATAAACAGGAGAGATGGAAACTAAGTGTGTAGATGCAGTGGTTATGGTGGTGGGAGTCCTGGTCAATGAAAAGTTCTGCTTTACAATATAACATTATAGCAAAACTTTCACTTCTCTTGTTCTTATAACAACTTCAACTCATTGAAATTGTTAGGGGGCTGGAGGGTCCCCAGCATTGTCTTACCTTCAGAGGGGCTGGAGGGTCCCCAGCATTGTCTTACCTTCAGAGGGGCTGGAGGGTCCCCAGCATTGTCTTACCTTCAGAGGGGCTGGAGGGTCCCCAGCATTGTCTTACCTTCAGAGGGGCTGGAGGGTCCCCAGCATTGCCTTACCTTCAGAGGGGCTGGAGGGTCCCCAGCATTGCCTTACCTTCAGAGGGGCTGGAGGGTCCCCAGCATTGCCTTACCTTCAGAGGGGCTGGAGGGTCCCCAGCATTGTCTTACCTTCAGAGGGGCTGGAGGGTCCCCAGCATTGTCTTACCTTCAGAGGGGCTGGAGGGTCCCCAGCATTGTCTTACCTTCAGAGGGGCTGGAGGGTCCCCAGCATTGTCTTACCTTCAGAGGGGCTGGAGGGTCCCCAGCATTGTCTTACCTTCAGAGGGGCTGGAGGGTCCCCAGCATTGTCTTACCTTCAGAGGTGCTGGAGGGTCCCCAGCATTGTCTTACCTTCAGAGGGGATGGAGGGTCCCCAGCATTGTCTTACCTTCAGAGGGGCTGCAGGGTCCCCAGCATTGTCTTACCTTCAGAGGGGCTGCAGGGTCCCCAGCATTGTCTTACCTTCAGAGGGGCTGGAGGGTCCCCAGCATTGCCTTGCCTTCAGAGGGGCTGGAGGGTCCCCAGCATTGTCTTGCCTTCAGAGGGGCTGGAGGGTCCCCAGCATTGTCTTACCTTCAGAGGGGATGGAGGGTCCCCAGCATTGTCTTACCTTCAGAGGGGCTGCAGGGTCCCCAGCATTGTCTTACCTTCAGAGGGGCTGCAGGGTCCCCAGCATTGTCTTACCTTCAGAGGGGCTGCAGGGTCCCCAGCATTGTCTTACCTTCAGAGGGGCTGGAGGGTCCCGAGCATTGTCATACCTTCAGAGGGGCTGGAGGGTGCCCAGCATTGTCTTACCTTCAGAGGGGCTGGAGGGTCCCCAGCATTGTCTTACCTTCAGAGGGGCTGGAGGGTCCCCAGCATTGTCTTACCTTCAGAGGGGCTGGAGGGTCCCCAGCATTGTCTTACCTTCAGAGGGGCTGGAGGGTCCCCAGCATTGTCTTACCTTCAGAGGGGCTGGAGGGTCCCCAGCATTGTCTTTCCTTCAGAGGGGCTGGAGGGTCCCGAGCATTGTCTTACCTTCAGAGGGGCTGGAGGGTCCCGAGCATTGTCTTACCTTCAGAGGGGCTGGAGGGTCCCGAGCATTGTCTTACCTTCAGAGGGGCTGGAGGGTCCCAGCACGGTCTTACCTTCAGGGGTTGAACTACTTTTCAGCGGTTCAACCCGAGATTTGGTCCTCCAGTGTCCAACGTTGCAACTTCCTACCAGCCCCCATCGTATGAGAAAGGTTTGTCCAGCTGAGTACGTACAAGCTCTACCATGGTGTATACAAGGGACTTTGCTAGGGAATCCATACTTGAGACTAGCACAACATTACTTCAGAATTAAAAATTAAAACAAACGGGTAGGAATGTTTGGTACATAGTATAATCATGTGTACTTTTATTCCAGGAACAAAACAGTCGGAAGCGTATCCCTTGCCCTTTGGATCCCAAGCAGTAAGTTACTAAGCTTTAACTACTTTTGATTAATATATTTTAGCTGTAAATCTTACCTTCCCCCTCCCCCTCCCATTGTGTTTTTTTTGTTTTTTTTAATATAGCACAGTGTATGAGGATCAGCTCCAAAAACACCTTAAAAAATGTAACTCCAGAGAGAAACCACTGCCGGTATGTAGTATGTCATACGTCTGTTAATGAATGCAATTCACCCAAAACACAGTAGCCATTTCCCTACTAATTGTTTTCAGTTTTATGTGATCTCTAAAGGTTTTGCTGATAAATCTGTTATAATTAGGGTACCTGCTGTAAATTGTCTTGCATTTGGGTCTATAAACTGAACACGAAATTGTAGTGAATGGAAAATTTCATTAAAAAAAAAAAAAAAAAGGCTAAAATAGCCTAGCTGTGTCTATAACCTAGATGGTTATTTTTTTTACCAAATGTAATGACTTTTTTTTTTTTTTAACCAAATAAGATGCTTTCATTTTTGTGCTTTAAAAATTCTTTAAATTCTTTAAATTAATTAGTACTGTCTTCTAGGAGTGTTGATCTTTTGGTTGATTTAAAATTCATCCAGGGTCAACTTTGGTAATTTTAACATGCTTTTTAGGTGTTTTATATGCACAATGTGAACGCTGGATCACTTGATAGAGTCTCGTGTGAAGAGCAGGTATGAACAAAGTGTTTTCTTATAATTTGGGTAGAATGTGACGGCAGATAAGAACCATTCGTCCCATCTAGTCTGCCCAATTTTTTAAATATGTTCATTAGTCCCTAGCCTTATCTTATAGTTAGGATAGCCTTATGCCTATCCCACGCATGCTTAAACTCCTTTACTGTGTTAACCTCTACCACTTCAGCTGGAAGGCTATTCCATGCTTCCACTACCCTCTCAGTAAAGTAATACTTCCTGATATTATTTTTAAACCTTTTCCCCTCTAATTTAGGACTATGTCCTCTTGTTGTAGTAGTTTTTTCTTCTTTTAAATATGGTCTCCTCCTTTTTTATTATTATTTTATTATTTATATAGCACCATCATATTCCGTTGCGCTGTACATTGGGTGGACTAATAGACATGTAATTTTAACTCTGCTCAATGAGCTTACATTCTTTAATGTGTTGATTCCCTTTATGTATTTAAATGTTTCTATCATATCCCCCCCCGTCTCGTCTTTCCTCCAAGCTATACATGTTAAGATCCTTTAACCTTTCCTGGTAAGTTTTTATCCTGCAATCCATGAACCAGTTTAGTAGTCCTTATCTGAACTCTCTCTAAAGTATCAATATCCTTCTGAAGATACGGTCTCCAGTACTGCGTACAATACTCCAAGTGAGGTCTCACCAGTGTTCTGTACAATGGCATGAGCACTTCCCTCTTTCTACTGCTAATACTTCTCCCTATTCAGCCAAGCATTCTGCTAGCATTTCCTGCAGCTCTATTACATTGTCTGCCTACCTTTAGGTCATCAGAAATAATCACCCCTAAATCCCTTTCCTCAGATGTTGAGGTTCGGAATCTATCCTATGCACGGCCTGATCTCTCTTGAATTTTAAATACATTGACTCACAGACCCCGGGTAAATTGTCAAGCTATTCACAAAGCTTGACTACTTACCCTGCAAGGCCACCGAGGCACTCCTGGCACCATATCCACTACAGCAGTGGTTATGGTACATGGAGTGCTCTTGTGAAGGCACACAATAGTCACCTATATCACTTCATCTCAGTGCAGTGGTCCTGTCATTTTTTTCCCTGCAATGTAGAAATAGCATTATTAACATGGAAGGGTTAATACACTGCTTGTCTGTCTGACAGCCACTAGAAGTTCTTCTCCCTCTATAGCCGGCTAATGAATCAGATTGGTCTCATAGTGACCATTTGATTGGTTTAATTGGATGGTTTGCCGAGATAATCTTTCTGCATTCAGCCAAGGAGGCGGAGTAGCATTGTGGAGATTGGCATGGCAAGGTACGTAAAACTCTCCTTTTAAACGCTCAAAGGCGGGGGGGGAGGGGGAGGAGCATTGGAAGTACATGTATTTCTAATGCTCAAATGTTCCTTTAAGAGCATTTGTTCTGATGCCCAGGTTCTTCAAAAGTGACTTGAAACAAATTGGGTTTTCTTTTTAAACACGTATGCTTTACTATATTTTCAATGTACTTCCCATGAGCTGTTTATTCTCTACACATCTTGAGTTACAATACAAAAGCGGCTTTTAAAGGACCACTATAGTGCCAGGAAAACACTCTTTTTCCTGGCACTATAGTGCCCTGAAGGTGCCCCCACCCTCAGGGTCCCCCTCCCGCCGGGCTCTGGGGGGAGGAAAGGGTTAAACTTATCTCTTTCTCCAGCGCCAGGCGGGGAGCTCTCCGCCTCTTCGGCTGAATGCGCAGCAAGAGCTGCGCGCGCATTCAGCCAGTCCATAGGAAAGCATTCTCAATGCTTTCCTATGGACGCAAGCATCTTCTCACTGTGAAAATCACAGTGAGAAGCGCCGAAGCCCTCTAGCGGCTGTCAATGAGACAGCCACTAGAGGCTGGATTAACCTATAGGTAAACATAGTTTCTCTGAAACTGCTATGTTTACAGAAAAAAGGGTTAACCCTAGATGAACCTGGCACCCAGACCACTTCATTAAGCTGAAGTGGTCTGGGTGCCTATAGTGGTCCTTTAAAGAAACACCCAGTTAGCGGTTTACATGCTATGTATTACACATAGCATATGTTGGTGCCTAGAGTGTAGATCAACAGTTTGCATTAGTGTTTTTGATTTTGTTTTTGAGACAGCAGCAAGCAGTGAATCCTCTCCCAATCTCTTCCTACATTTAGGTGGCCATCAGTTCCATGTCACGAGAAGATCTTCAAAAGTTTATAGAGATACTGGTACAAGTAACAACTGGTGGGTCCAGCAAAGCCTAATGTTCAATAGTCCTTAAGTTGTAATAGTTTATTTAAAAAATTATATAGAATTGTTACTTTTCTAATTTTAATATATACAGATAACACACAATTTAAAGGCAAAATAACCATTGTTGATTTTCTGTTAAAAAAATAAATAAAATAATATACAGAATAATTACTTTACAGAGAAGATTGTATTTTAAATAGTTTCTGAATTTTAAACCTGCAAGCTTTACCAATCTTATACAAATACTTGTACATGTAATTCTATTGTTTTATTTCTTTGATAGTGAAGGAGTTAAATATATTGTCAGTGAGAAATCCAGAAAATCTGTCACAATTTTAAACAGAGTATAAAAGATGAAATGTGAATATTTGTGCAGGACTGAACACTCCATTACCAGACAAGAAACTTCGGCACTGGGCATTACAAGAAGCCTTAAATGATCCTGTGAATGGAGAGTCTGCTGCAAAGCACTTAAAGCAACAGGTTAGAGGAAACTGGGTTATTCTGACACAGATACAGCTTTATTTTTAATGTTTCCCACAGCACATACAGTGGACATTAAGTCTTAAGTTCAGTGGACCATATAATCCTTAAAGGGACAGTATAGTCACTATAACAACTACAGCTTATTGTATTTGTGCTAATGAGTAGAATCATTCCCTTCAGGCCTTTTGCAGTAAACAGTCTTTTCAATAACTCCACTGGCCACTCAGATGGCTGGTAGAGGTGCTTCCTGGGGTACTGCTGCACACTGTGCAGTACTGCCATTCACTGTCTCCACCCTCTGCATGCAAACACTGAACTTGATTCAATGCATCTCGATAAGGAGGGTGTGTTTGACTTGTGCTTTGCCCCTGATCTCCTTCCTTGACAGTCTCAGCCAATCATATGGGAAAGCATTGTGATTGGCTCACAGAATCATTTCTGATGATGTCAGCCAGCTGTAAGATCAGGGACAGAGGCAGTGCTGCAGACTTGAATAGAAGTACGATTTTACTATACTGTACTTAGCGAGGCTAGGGTACAAGATGCATATATTGGAAGAATTATGTGATGGATTTCAGCTCAACATGTAGTGATCTGTCTCCTTCCTGTCCACAGGCTTCTATTTTGGGTCACTTGGACAGTTTGGGTTTGCTAGGAGGCTCTAGATGCTTTGTAGAATTTGGTGCAGGACGTGGCAAGCTGTCCCACTGGGTGGACATTGCTTTACAAGATGCTGAAAATGTTCATTTTATTTTGGTGGAGAGAGCTACTACAAGATTTAAGGTATGAGTCTGCAAACCAACTCCTCCCACCCCCTTAACACACACACATCCTCACACCACAAAAAAATCTGACAAATTAACAGCATGGATAATGTCTACGAGAGTCTTGAAGCAGTTCATAACCAGGAACATAAAAGGAAAAAAGCCACACCAAGTAATTTAACAGGAATCTATGCAGATAAGAGGAGGTTCTTACCTTACTAGTAGATTTCTATCCAACAATCCACATACATTTGGCAACATTTTCTACTCATTGTAATAACTATGGTACTAGCAAACAACTGGTACCATGCTCACAACCGTTCTATTATTATTTTATTGTTTAAACAGTGGCAGCAAATTCCATAGCGCTGTACAATGGGTGGACTAACAGACACGTAATTGTAACCAGAAAAGTTGGATGCACAGGAACAGAGGGGTTTAGTTCCCTGCTCAATGAGCTTACATGCTAGAGGGAGTGGGGTATAGTGACACAAAGGGTAAAAGTAGGGATAACTAAGTGCAAGATGTATCAATGGTGCTTGGACTGCCCCTTTAAATCAATACAACCGGATCATTGCTTCTTACATTTTAATGATCAATAAAATTACTTACCATCATCACAGTCAAGTCTGTAAATATCTCATGCTTGCATGGCAGGTCCTATTTATTTGGAATGCTAAGCTTTACAGAACCCTATCCTGACATTCCAGTTTTTAATAGGATCCTTAAAGGGACACTTCACTGCCCAAAGAAAAAATCATTGTTTAGTAGATCTATCCACAATCAAAATATGAACACATTTAATTATGCATTTTATTTCAGTGAGGGTATAACTAAAAATATATTGTAAAAGCTGCATATCTGAAGCCTGTCCAGACTTTCTGTGGCCTGTCCAGACTTTCTGTGGCTCTTCCGTTACAGCCTTCCAAATGCAGCTCACTGAGAAGTCTTTGCAAGGCAGATGCTCTAAACAATCTCCTGCCTCTTACATTTAGCTCAATTAAGCTAAGCCAAGAAATAAGAGGACCGGTTGTCAGATAGCCAGAGCGGTGCAACAATGAAATTTTTAAAAGTGCCAATGTCTATTAAAATCTGCACTTTTTGTAAAATGTAAAAAAGGAGACACGTTCTTCACACAGGGGTAAGGTGTTCCTTTAAATATTAGTTTGTAATGATGACATGGAATATTATTAGTCTTAAGGTATTAAACCTCATGTGATGTCACCCTTTAGGTAGTTGTACGTTTCCTAGTCCAAATATTTGTTTTCAAATATTTAATGGTTAGGCTACAGCTCCTTTATTTTTATAGGAGTATTGTAACTGATTCTGTTCTTTACTACAGGTAGATGGGAAGCAGAGAAAATCTACTTTTGAGAGGCTTCATATTGACATTCAGCATTTGTGCTTAGGTTGGTGTGATCACAGATACAGGGGTGGTTAAAGAAATGTTATAATACAACAGTGTAAAACTAATTTGTTTTTCTCAGATAGGGTGCCCAGCCTTGTTCAGAAGCAACTTCCAGTCATTGGAATTGGAAAGCACCTGTGTGGAGCTGGGACAGGTAGGAGCAGTGTCTTGGGGAAGCTTACATTCTATAGGAGGTGGGGTGTAAAACACATTAGGACAGGAATTTGCAGTCAAATGAGGTGGGCTGCCCTTTAGGAGAGAGCAAGAGACAGGTATGTGAGGTAGAGGTTACTCTGGGAGGCCATAAGCTTTCCTAAAGAGATGGGTTTTAAGGCACTTCTTAAAAGATGCAAGACTAAAGGAGAGTCTGATGGCGGTAGGTAGGCTATTCCATCGGAAGGGAGCCGCCCGCAAGAAGTCCTGCAAGCCTGAGTTGGCCGTACGGGTGTGGACAATGGACAGGAGGTGGTCACGGGCAGAGCGGAGAGACCAAGAAGGGACATACCTGTGGATCTGTGAGGAGATATAAGAGGGGCTGGGGTTGTTCAGTGCTTTATAGGTGTGAATTAGTACCTTGAATTGACTCCTATAGCATACAGGAAGCCAATATAAGGACTGGCAGAGGGGTGAGGTGTGAGAGAAACGACTAGAGAGAAAAATCAGTCTGGAAGCAGCGTTCATTATGGACTGTAGCGGTGCAGTACGGCTTTTGGGAAGACCAATCAGGAGAGGGTTACAATAATCCACGCGGGAAATTACTAGAGCATGGACAAGCTTGTGTAAGAAAGGGGTGGATGCGGGCTATGTTTTTAAGATGGAATCTACAGGATTTGGCAACATGCTGGATGTGAGGCTCAAAGGTGAGGTCAGAATCAAGTATGACGCCAAGACAGTGCGCTTGCAAGGATGGACTGATGTTGATACCACTAACTTGAAGGGAGAGCGAAAGAGCTGGATCAGTATTAGGAGGAAGAAAGACAAGGAGCTCAGTTTTAGAGAGATTGAGTTTCAGAAAGCGGGAGGACATCCAGTCAGAGATGGAAGAAAGGCAAGCAGTGACACGTTCCAGGACGGCAGGGGAGAGGTCCGGGGAGGAGAGATATAACTGGGTGTCATCAGCATACAGATGGTAGTGGAATCCAGTTTAATAAGTTTGCCAAGAGAGGCAGTATAAAGAGAAAATAATAGGGGACCAAGGACAGAAGCATGGGGAACTCCAACCGAGACAGGACGAGGGGAGGAGGTATCATTAAAAAAGGAGACCCTGAATGAGCGTTGGGAGAGATAAGAGGAAAACCACGAGAGGACAAAGTCACAGAGACCGAGTGATTGAAGAGTTTGAAGGAAAGCATGATCAACGGTGTCAAAGGCCGCAGAGAGGTCAAGAAGAATTAGTATGGAGTAGTGGCCTTGGGATTTAGCTGCGATTAGGTCGTTAGTAACTTTGATAAGCGCAGTCTCAGTAGAGTGGAGGGGCCGGAAGCCAGATTGAAGAGGGTCAAGGAGAGAGTTGGAATTGAGGAAATGAGACACACGGGTAAAGACAAGTCTTTCCAGAAGCTTTGAGTAGTAATTAATTATGTGATTATCTGATATCCATTGATTATCAGAATTATATCATTGTTTTAGTATACATAAAATATATTTGAAGGCTGACTCCTTAATATACCAAGTGATGTTGAAAAATAAAATCACTATGCATAAATTGTAGCATATGTTTAAAATCTAGGCACTTAGAGATTTGGACACTAAACCTTCTGCCGACCAATGTGCATATGTTGGCCAATTTAGTGTGGGTAGAGTTTGGCTTTTTTCATTTTGCTACTCTGGCCTAAATGTTACAAGTTGGTTGTTAAAGTGCTATTACTCACTGCTTAGAAATTAAACCCCTTAGAAATTTGTTATTATATAATTCTTCTTAACATGAGACTTTTGTTCTATATATGTTATAAATTGACCATTATATTTGTATTATTGCAGATCTGGCATTGCGTTGTCTTGCACAGACTTACTTTTCTCCATTGGGAGATCCTCCGTGCAAGCGTCCAAGACTAAATCCCACTGGGGACAATTCAGATGAAAAAGGGAGCAGTAACTCTCCACTAAATCAATACAGCCCTGTTGCAGGAATCGTTCTTGCTTTATGTTGTCACCATCGATGTGACTGGCAATTCTATGTAGGGAGAGACTTTTTCAAAAATCTAGGCCTTGGGCAGAGAGAATTTAACATTTTTCAGCGCATGTCCAGCTGGGCAACGTGTGGGTTCCACAAACTAGCAACTGATGTGTCTCATGCCGGTAAGAAGAATGACCCAGAGGATGAGGAAGACAATAAAGATGAGCAGAAGAATTTAGACTGTAATTCAGAGACCATCCAACGGTGAGACAGAACTTCACAGTTTTATATAAATGTTCAACTACAGTCTTAAAATTATATTTTAAAGTCCTGTCTGTGTTTTTAAGGTTTCTGACTGTGGATGAACGTGAGCATTTGGGACGTCTCTGTAAGCTCCTGATCGACCAAGGACGTCTACATTACTTGAAAAGCATTGGATATAGACCAACACTACATTATTACACAGACCCTGAGGTTTCCTTAGAGAATGTTCTACTTACAGCCTTACCCCAACAGCATAATTGAGGGCTGCAAGCTAGTTGTTTGTTTGATTTATAGTTGACATACAGTGCAGAAATGAGTCTACAGAGAGGAGTATGGATTACGAGTATTTTAAACCCATCCAGATCAACATGTCCGAGACACAGAATTGAGAGATTTGCCCCAACCTAGCTCTGAAGGGGAAAATCAGGACATAAAGCTGTTTTTTGTGACACATATGATAAACTCTGATAATAGCTTGCAAAGGAGATTTAGTACTCCACCAGTACAGACTGTAAATAAACCTGAGTCATTTGCTCTTCATGCAGTTTTCCATACATAATCAGAGATCCTGCTACTCAGATTTCTGAAAATCAGATATTTTTTGATTAACAGCATTTTGTCGCTGGATACATTTGAACACTGCAGGACCTCTCCCAGACCATTTTGACCACAGATTCAGAGTTTATCTGGTTAACTTCTCATTAAGTGTCATCTTCGTGTAAATTACTTAGACCTTGAATTCAAACTTTTAATGGAACACTTGCTCCGTTTTGCCTGTTCCTTATTTACCATCTTTTAATTTCACATTTTCAGTTCCATCTTATTGGATACAGTCTGTGTTTTCTGAAAGAGAATACAGCTGTTAGTTTGATTCCACTGAAAATCAGTATTAATTTATGTTTCTATTACTGCTAAACAGATGTTATGGCTTATGAGTTACTTTTATACCTGTAAATTTTAAAGGAGCACAGAATTATTAAAATAGATTTACTTCCCTTTTTCCAGCGCCGTCGGTCTTGCTTACCTCTCTGCCTTCTGCAGCATGATTGCATATGATGGCCAGGAGAGGTGATTTAAAATTTCAGTTTCTAAAAAAAAATGTGCAATGTTTTACATTGCAGGCTTAAAGCTAAAGGACCACTGCATCGAGACCACCTCATTGTGATAAAGTAGCCTGGGTGACTAGTGATATGAGTTTTCTTTTACATTTGGATTTACAAAACGTTGGTTTTATTTTATTTGAAATAAATTAAGCCTTATAAGTTTCTTCATTTGTTGTTCTTTTCCCCCTATACAAATAGATCTGGTTCATCAAATCTAGACATAAAATGTCTGTCACAACAAACTTGCCTTTCTCCTATTGTTCTTCTCTTCCTCTTTCAGAATCTGTTGTGCATTTCTGTTCTATATATATTTAAAACATAATATAAAGTAGGGATTAATTTGTTTTATGTATGTTAAGCTCCAACCCTGAAATATAGGAAAAATACAAAAAACAAAGTAGCCCTTACTTTGTCTTATGTTTTTCAGGCTATCCTAGACTTAAGATAAGGCCAGAGACTAATTAAAGTATTTTGAAAATTGGGCAGACTAGATGGGCCGAATGGTTCTTAACTGTCGTCACATTCTATGTTTATTCCAGTCTGCTGGTGCTGGCTTTGCCCCTGATCTGACTCCTTGTCTGACACCATCAAAAATTATGATATTTGCCAATCACAATGCTTTGCTATAGGAAAGAATTGGATTGGCTGAGATTGTCAATTCTGATAAACTCAGCCATGGAGGCATGCTGGGGGCGAAGCCAAATGCAGCCCTGGCCAACTGGCCAATCAGCATCTCCTCATAGAGATGCATTGAATCAATAAATATATATGAGGAAAGTTCAGTGTCTCCATGCAAAAGATGGAAACACTGGGAAGTGGCTATTGAAGGTGTCCCTAGGCTGTAATGTAAACACTGCCTTTTCTCTGAAAAGACAGTGCTTACTGCAAAAAGCCTACAGGGACTGACTATACTCACCAGAACAACTACAATAAGCTGTGGTTGTTCTGGTGACTATGGATTCCCTTTAACTGCAAAACCCTCTCTGTGATCTACTTGTTAAGTTGCACATGTGGACTACAATATGTAGGGCAGATATATCACAAACTCAAAACTAGGTTACGGGAAAATCTTCATTCTTTTGTTAACCTCAAGTCAAATACATCTACATTTTAGAATGTATCATAATTCTGATCCTACACAATTGGCTGTAATTGGCATACAAAGTATTCCATTTTATGACTATCAGACAGCCACTAGAGGGACCTCCGTGTTCTTAGAACACGAAAAGTGTTTTAAACAACGCTGGACGTCCTCACGCTATGCATGTGGACCTCCAGCGTCTCCGGAATCCCCATAGGAAAGCATTGAATAATGCTTTCCTATGGGGAGGTCGAATGCACGCGCTCGGCCATTGACATTGGCGGAGGAGGAGCTTGGGCGGAGCCAGACCCAGCGCCGAAGGACATGGGATGGGGGTTGGGAGGGAGAGGGACACTGCATGGTCCTGCAGTGCCAGGAAAACTGATATGTTTTCCTGGCACTGGAGAGTCCCTTTAAGACTATTCATGCCCTCCTTCCTCCTTATGAACTATACAATATCTTCACCCAGCAAGCCTACACGCCACCAGCTATCTACCATCTGAAGATCCTTTCATTCCTCTGAAAGGCACACAGATTATTCCAGTCGCTACTGATTTTTTTTTTCCCCATTTTTATTAACCTGGCTTTGGTGAACCCCACCTAAGACTGTATGCTTGCTGCTTTTAGTACCAAGTCATATTCCAGGGGTCTCATGCTAAAAGGTTTTTATATATCTCGTCTGCTTGCAACTTTCATTTTTGTGTTTTGTAAAGGCATTTAGTCTTCTAAATGGTGTTTTAAGTGTGTTTTTCATAATGTGTATATCATTTTTTAACAGTGCAGTCTCGATGAATAAAATGTGTTACTATATAGTTTTTATACTGCGCTGCCTAAACATTTAGTTTTTTTGGTGCACACTGCTTGTGCAAAATAACTTTGCATATACAGGTGTGTGCAAAAGCACTACCTTTTATAGAGCATCCTATTGATTCCTGGATATACAAGTGCATAAATTCCAGACCAAACAGTTCCCTCTCTCCCTCCTCCTCTTCATCTTGGCAAGGTGGCAATGTCACTTGACGCTCCAGAGGATTATCTCTGAAATTGACGAATCTGTTGAGAGCAAACAATGTTTATTTCTAAGCTGAGCACCTCCAACAATGTACAATACCGTACATGCCCCAAGCCTATCCTTTTAAACATTATAAGGTTCCTTACATCTCTGAAAAATTAAATCGATTCCAATGCAAAAATGTCGAAAGTGAATCTTACACAAGAAAGGGTAAAGGGAATATAGTGTACACATGTAAATAGTCACTACAGGAATTTACCTGTGCGGATAGTATGTTATAGGCAATACGGTGGCATAGATTTGCGATAGTTGCAAGTACTATGGAAGGTTTTTTTTTATTTCAAGTGTTGATGTAGCTTGTGATGCCAGTACATTGGCTGATCATTATTTGTTTCTCTGAACATGGTGCCCTTAGATCTTACCGTAGGTTTTCCAGGCCCTGCAGACAATGTGGGATTCTTTTCAGTCTGTTACTGGTTAGAACTAATGTATTCAGGTTTCTCAGGCAGCTAATGGAGTCTGGGAGCTCCGTTATCTCATTCCGCTGCAGCCATATTGTATGTAATCTCTGCATTCTATGGACGAAATGATATTGTAGTTTAAGATTTATATTAGAAGTTTGGTTCAATTGTATTGATAATTAGAGCATTAAAGACACCCAGACCACTTCACCTTAATGAAGTGATCTAGGTGCAGTGCCCCTCTCTTTTTAATCCTGCAATTGAAAACATTGTCATTTTGCAAGAATGACAATATTCTCATTACAGGGTTAACATGCTTTCAGTGGCTGTCTTACTGACAGCCACTAGAGGCGCTTTTGCTACTATAATCTCAAACTTGGTTATAGATCAAATGATTGTCATTGAGAGCACCTGACTGGTGCAGTGTTTTGCTGCGCATGCATACAAGCCTCCCAGTGATTCCCCTTGGAAAGCATTGAATTGACTGAGATCATCAGTCTTGATGATTTCAGCAAGGGAGGCAGGTGGCTGTGTCAAGTAAGCCCAATAAGGGAGTTTAGATACCAGTAAGTAAAGCTCACTTTTATATTTTATTCAGGGGTGGGCAACATCTTAGTACATAGTATGTTACACTTACTTATCTATGTCTGAGGGCAGCTTCTGCAACTTGTTACTACCCATGTCCAGCCATTCCAGAGATGGCAGGTCCAGCAGAACACTTGGGATGCTTTCAAACTGGTTCATATTCAAGTCCAGTTGGAAGAGACGTGTCAGTGAACTAAGCTGAAAAAAAAAAAGAGTAAGTATTAGAGCCACTGAGATGAAAAGACATTGTTGAACTGCTACTCTGAATCTGAACGTTTATAGCTATTTAAATGATAGCTAAGAGTAAGTATGAGAGCATGTACATTACTGAAATTATTTAAAATGTTGTATCTGTGATGGAGATTAATTTAGAAATAAACAAAAATGTTTAAAAGTCTATCTGTTCCTGTCCAAATCTGAGATGAATAAATTGCATATACGCAGAAGTAAGTTCACACTGACACATGCAGTTCAGGTTAAAAACACTTCAGGAAATCTATTAGCATCTAGTTAAAAAGTGGGCACGCAGGCCTTTTTATATGCAAAATGACATCATCATTGAATATCAGATAATAACAAATAAACATCATTAATTGGGTTAAATGTTAAGTGGCTATGTCAGTGTCCACCCATTAATATTATTAATTGGCTCAGAGATTTGAGTGACTAGTGAGGCACCCTCCCATCATGGGATGTCGTCGCCATTGCTCTTTAGCACGAGGCTTACTCGGTGGAAAGGGGGGCTTGGGCGTCATTTTACGTAGTTAGTGATGTCAGTCTCGTGGTCTGTTCCAAGGTTCTTTTATGAATAGAACATTTCATTTTGTCACTGTTCTCCTGGCCTTGGATTATACTATGTTGCAAGTCAACGGAGATCCGCTAACTCCGGGGCTAGTTATGTCCTTAGAGAGAGAAAATACAATCTCTTATTCATTATACTGAATACTGTCAGGAAATTCTGTCATGTAAGGTGAACAAAATGGAGTTAGTACAATAATTCAATACAGGTTCTAATAAAGATTTTAATAATTCTACATCAGTCCCCCCTATGAAATGTTAGATTCTAAAAGATAATCTTTATTTGTTAGTATCAGAAGACGTGTTAGCCCAAAGGCACAGAAACCCCGTGACCCGCTAGCTAGGTGTTATTGCAAAGTGCAAAGCTGTCCCTTCGTCTGTCCCTAATTGGCTAACTCATCTGTCCGCTGGGCACTCGAACACTTCACTCCATGGGTATCCCGAGGTGGCTAACCCACCACATCTCCGCACGGTAGACTTCCCAGACAGACAGATGCTGTCCCTAAGCTGGTCCCTTCCTAGAACTCTTGCACTCTATCAATAAACGGGATAGATTGTAGCGGTATACAGGGCGAGTTGACTTTTTGGAAATCTTGGTCATCAACTGTGAGGTGTGCGTAAGTGGGTGCCGCTTGGTCTACAGTCTTCAAGAGGAGCTTTCTCAGACAAGGGAGGACACAACAAACGAGAAGAGCAAAGATAAAAAGGAAAATTAGTATTGCTATACCAATATGCATCAAAGCTTTTTGCCATCCTGTCATCCAACCAAACCATCTCTCCCAGGGATCTTTTATCCCAGAGTTCCTCTTTAGCTCCTCAGAGAGCTCTTTCAATTTTTCTATAGCTAAGGTTACTTTACCATTGGGGCCTGTGTTTTCTGGGATGTAAGTACAACATGTCATGGTGTCAGGCAGAATTTTACATACCCCTCCTTTTTCGGCTAGAATCATATCTAAAGCCATTCTATTTTGGAATGACATTTGGGACGTAGCCTGCAGCTGTTCGGCCAAACCCTGAAGGGCATCCCTGGTGTAATTAACAAACCGTTGTTGGTTGTAGTAGATGTAATTTATCCAGTTTAAATTCTTGTTTGCAGTGACTATGGTAAAAAGTGATTCAAATCCTGCAGCAACTTCATCCCTGGCTTTAAACTCATTGGGCACCCCCCTAGGTACCCCAATGGCATCAATGTAAATATGAGGGTCAAAACTGCCTTTTACTGGGGCTTCACGCTTTACCTTGGTTGGTGAGTGTTTGGACTCATGAGTATCGGGGTGTGTGTCAGAGATTATATGTATGGGCATGATTGCTTTAGCCAGAGTACACTCCCCCCACCATTCTTTATCCATTCTTGATCTCAGCTGTAGATCCCCACACAACCAGTAAATATCCCCCAATGATCTAGTGTGGAATTGTAGGAGGTTCATAGAGACAGTTCTGTAGGTGGCACAATAACCTTTAGAGAAGTTACCCACAAATTTACCAATTCCATCATAATTAGCATAACAGGTATAATTACCTTTATAGACGGTAACACCATCTGGGGGTTTGCAATCTTTGACTAGAAGAGGATACTCTACTGTCCATGCTTTACATATGGACCTATTGAAATTGTAGTGATAGGCAAAAAGACTCAGAACACATTCTTCTATATCTACTGGCAAAGTTGAAGGCACAGTGCCCAGGTGCGGCCGGGCACCACCACACACATAGCATGCGGTTCTGTTATGTTTGTTGGCATTATATTTCATCCATTCTAACCATAGATTAACATCATTGAAACCTGTTTCAGCGGCCATGGTATCTTCAAATGTTGGATTTGCAATGGCCATCATGTCTTTAAAAGATTGGATGTGTGGTTTCAACGGATTTGAGACCATGTGGGTGGTCCCTTTCCACTCAGGAGAGTGGCACATATCTTTAAGGTGGAAATGTCCTAATTTATTATAGGAACCCTTCTTCCAGTACATTCCCATTACATACTGGTCTGCATCCGTTGGGCTGGGATGCTCAATGTTTAAGATTAATTTCATAGGTATGCCTCCTCCGGGCTTTCTTAGAGTCATTCTCTGGAGGAGGGACCTACCGTGATCATCAATTTTAGATAAGGCACTTTTTGGTTTGTAACCCCAGGCAGGCCCGGCATTCCATCCCGCCGCCCCCCAATTGTTACAGTTGTGCCCCCATTGTTTGTCAACTACACAAACATAGGGGTCTTTTGAATGAGGGATATCTCTATAGATATTCTGAATCTGTGACGTGGGGAATGGGCATTCTACGATGTCACAGTAGTCAAAAGTATAAGTAGCCACACGGGTACATGATGAATTATACCAGAAGGTGTACCCACTAGCATCTTTGGTGATGGCCACCTGCTGGGCTTTAAGGAGGCCAACTAAGGAGATAATGTACCAGAGGCACATGGTTGCATAGAGTTAGCTTCCTCTGGGGCAGGTGTCTTCTTGCAATGGGAAGCGTGGATCCAGTTAGGCCTTCCGGCCAATTTGACAGAGGTAGGGGAGATCAGGAGAACTTGGAACGGACATTTACTGTTTTCGCACAAATTTCTTGACCAGAACCCAGTCATCGGGGAGCAGACTGTGGTTGCCTGTGTCAGAATCAGGATCTGGAATTGAAGAGAAAACTTGGGCATGGATTTTGTTTAAGGCGTTTGCGAGTTCAGTTACATAATCTACTAAGACATCAGTTTGAAGTTGTAGTTGTTGGGGAAAATAGCAACCTAGCCTAGGTGCAGTCCCAAATAGAATCTCATATAGGGACAATGAGGTAGTATTTTTGTACAAGAGCATTCATTAGATCCTTTGATAAATGTGCAGGTCCGTGTGCCCATTGTACGACTGCTGGGTACAAATTCTTAGGGAGGCAGAACTTGAGGTTGTTGGAGTACACTTCATCCTTCAGAACTGCCCCTTTCTGTTTCCACTTCTGTATTTCTTCAGGGGCAACTGTAGCCTGTTGTTCCCGCAGGATTTTTAGGTCAGTTGGAAGAGTCTGCAGAGTAAATATGGGAGTTTCTTCATTTCCGGACACTCTTCTTTCCACTTCCTGTGGTTCTTTTGCAGCTTGTTTTGCAGCCTGATCAGCTAGATGGTTGCCCCTTGCTTCATCTGAGTCCAACTTCCCATGTGCTTTTATCTTCAAAATAGCCACTTCTTCTGGGAGTAGGAGGGCGTCCATCAGCTCCTTGATTGCGGAACCGTGCTTGATTGGTGTACCGGCGGTGGTAAGAAATCCTCTTGTTTTCCAAATTAATCCGAAGTCGTGAGCCACGCCCAGTGCATATCTTGAATCCGTGTAGATATTGGCGCGCTTTCCTTCAGAGATCTTGCATGCTGAAGTCAGGGCTTGCAATTCAGCTTCTTGTGCAGACATAGTTGATGGTAAAGATGATGATTTGACAATTTCATCTGTTGTGGTTACGGCATATCCTGTATGGTATCTTCCTTCTTCATCAGCATATCTTGAGCCATCCACAAACAGGGTGAGATCGGGATCTACCAATGGGTCTTCATGCACAGTTGGTAGATGTGTTGTTTCCATTTTCATCTGTTCAAAACAGTCATGAGGTGTATCTGGGTCGTAGTCATTCACTATGGTTAAATCTTGGAACTCATTCTCCAGGAAATGACGCGGCCATGCTTTTAGGTGGTCAGTTGTTGGCTATTTGACAACACCATTTTCCTGTAGCTGTGATTCGTCCATAGTGGCCCATGCTTTTGCCATAGGCCCAAGATCATTCCATGATATTGTTTTCAACTTGGTCACAGGGACATGTGGAATGGCAGTGTCCCAATGACGGTACAAATGCTTGAGTTCCGGAGGTAGATGAATCAAGACCATACTGTTGCCTTCAGAATCACAGTAGAAGTCTTGTGCAGTGAGTTTTACTTCGACCAGATGATAGAGTTCATCTTCATAGCAGGTTTCAGGAGTGATGTTTGATTTGTACCACATGGTACAGAAGGCATATCCTGCTCCGTCATGAAGGAGTGCTTGTCCATCATGAAAGGATAGGTTGGGATGCATTTCCTTCTTGATGGTGCCAGTGAGAAGAAAAACATAAGTTTCGTCCATGATGAATCCGTAGTATACACCCCCCTCAGGGAGTGGCAGAAGAGTGGATGGATTGAGAACTTGACATCTTTGGAGGGTAATGTTGTCAGGCAACAAAAGATGACATTGAAGGCGAAGATGCCTAGCAGGAGTAACATGCTTAAGTTGGACCTGGTTGACTATGGCAGAAATGTCATGGGGGGCCAAGACAACCAGGGGGTGGCCAAGGACAAGATCACCAGTTCTTTCAATGAGCTCTCTGGCAGCAAAGACGGCCCGAAGGCAAGAGGGACGTCCTCTGGCCACAATATCCAGTTGGCAGGAGA